AGGTTTTTTCCCCCAAGCCCTGGGGTAAAACCTGAGGCTGTTTATTATGGCTCCAAAGGTCAAAATTAATAGTATGAATTGAGTCATCTTCTTGCTCTTTGAAACTCCTTGTCAAGTGGCACAGCCAGCTGGGCACACAACTCTGATATGCAGATCATAACGTTTGTGAACAGATAAAATGAATTACAAATGAGCTCAGTATATCACATTTCAACTCTCTAATGGGCAGGAAGGTCTCTCTCTTTTATACCCAAACACTGTCCAAATGCCTCCTCTTATATCTTATAGTCCATCTGAGTCCTTTTAAGCACCCCAAGAATCCGTATTACATCTTATTAGCAAAGGATTCCGGAAGCCAACTCGAAGTTTTGAAAATTATAATTATCCTAAGGACAGGGTAGGGTAGTAACTATACAACAAAAATAATATTAGCTACCAAGAATTAAATATTACATATATTATTTCATTTTGATCCCCACCCATTCAATAAAAAAGTATTGATATTTTCATTTTAAAGATGAGGAAATTGAAGTATGAGAAGGTTAAGTCATTTGACCAGATCTATCTTATACTACCTATACCAATGGACTATGAAGAAAATGGTAGAAGCTGTAAGACCTTTCTTTCACTCATTAAGGAACCTGTATAATATTAACATACCAGGCTGTATCTGCTGTCCTTACTAGAACTGAAAATAAGATTTCTCAAAGGAAAAACAATTTATTGACCAAGGAAGCTGACCTCTATGAAAAGTAGATATCAAACAGTGCTTTGCTATTTCAAAATTAAAGATAAGCAATAAATGGAAATGGTAATGCATTACCAAATTATTACCCAAAATAGAAGAGAAGTCACTAAAAGATGACCTTTCCTTTGAGTTGGAGAAAACCCAAAACTGCCATGAAACATTGAAAAACTACAACTGGTGACTCACATCATACAGATGCAATTGGCCTGTACGTAGCAGTTGATAAGTTCTAGTTACCACTTCCTACAGGAAATGATGGTAAGAAACACTATCCTTCACAAGCAATAAATCTCTCATTTTGGGGAAAGCTGCCTGCAGCACTAGTCTCCTTATTACAAATTTGTGACTGTGCCCTTGACAACAGTATCTCTGCATCTACGAGAACACCACTCACACCATCTGCTATTTGAGCAGCAGCAATTCTTAACACCAAGTATTGCTATTTTAATAGCAAGTCCCAATACTAGCAACCAAAACAACAAAACCAAAACAGTTGGTTTATGATTTCATCCACACACAGCTAACTACCCATATATCCACCCAACAAAATTCTGCTCGCCCCATTTATTAATAACCATGTGATGGGCACTGTGCTAGATACTGACGCTTTTCTTCACCTGTAGCAGGCTCTCCAAAGTCCAGAAGTCTGTGAGGAAGGGTGCACACAACACCAAAGCACAGAGTTCATGCAATTACGAAATCAAGTCCCTATTAAGCAAATTACAAAGCACCAGTCATAAAACCATACGCATTCAGGGCAACAGTTCCTAACCCTGGTTGCCTATTGATCACCTGGGGAGCTTTAAAATAATGCCAATGCCTGGGCCTCATCCCAGACCAATTAAAACAGAATCTCTGGAAGTGAGGCCCAGCATGGATCTATTTTTTAAAGGTTCTCAGGTGATTCCAAAGTGCAGCCAGGACTGAAAACCAGCAAAGTTGAGTATTTCTAGAGTGGTATTTCTGAAATCTGCAAGTCTATTAGATAGTGCGAAGATCACAAAACACTCCCTCTCATCCATTGCACCTGCCATCTGGGCTGTCTTAAAATGATACATCAATAAAGTGTTATTTTAAAATTATGGTCCCATTATTTATTTGTTTATAGCAATGAAGAACTAAACAAGAGAGTTCCTGGAGGTCATTCGTCACCCCCTGGGACCCCCAGGGCTATTCTGAGAACCAGAGCTGTATATGGCTGTAGCGGTGAGGAAGTGGCTGAAAAGCCCTGGCTCTCGTGCAGCAGTTGAGTGCTTGGGAGAGCAGAATCGGCAATGTCCAGGCAGGCAGCAGCCTCAGCTCAGTAACATGACGGGAGGGAGCCTTCATAGTTCAGGCATGATTATCAAACTCTTTGTGCTCTTAAAGGAGAGTAATTATAGGCATGTGAAAAAAGGGAAGCGCTCCCTGAGGAACTCTTCCTCACATGCTTCCCAAGAGGCAGCAGGGCCATTAAAAATTCCATGATGAAGAGGAAAAACAGCCTGGGAACAGCCAGGAGGCAATACAGCAAATTAATACACCAGCCCTCCTCAGGGAAAGCTGTGATAAAACAGGAAACACTTCTCTCTTTGCAAAATAAAATTATACCACTAATGATAACATAGTCACCACACACACACACAAATCGTTCTAATGATGGGTGTGAAATTCCCAATGCTGCCCAGATGCTTTGAAAGAAATCTTTGCCTACTACAAATAAAATGGGACAAGAAAGAGATAAAATTTCCATTCGAAACAATTTTTAGTTCAGTCATTCACCTGCCTCTTCCCTACTTCCACTACTCCTTGACATTCCCTCCTTGGTGCCAGGCTTTTGCTAAACAGTCCACTCTTGGCAAAGCCTGCTGCAAAAAGAATCCAGTCTCATCAGTGCACCACACTGAAGCTAGACGACTCCTTCTCCATGGACCCCTTGCTGGACAGGGGCCTCCACTATGTCAAAGGAGGGAGAGGTAGCCCTGAGAGCTCAGTGTTTCATCCTTCCCATTTTCAAACACTGCAGAGATGTCACTTGCACTGATCATTTCCCACAGAGCAGTGGTTGCCAAACTCTATTGACTGTGCACCCTTGTGAGTAAAAAAACTCGAGGAAACACTATATATGTACATAATAATATATACACATAAAATAGAAATATGTGCTACTAGACTAATAATATATGTACAATTTAAAACCAAAAGAAAATTTCAAGCATAAGATAATAAATAAATGTAAGTTTTAAAATTTTTCTTCCCCTACTGACCCCAAAGAACCTTCATGCGTGCAACCCACTTAGTATCTACTGCCCTGGGAAGGTTGTCTAAACGTAAGGACAAAGATGACGTACAGTTGTCCACGCTCTCTCTCCTTTGCTTTTAGCAATGATCTCAAGCAACGAGCAGTATTTCCCTAGAGCTGAGTGCACCAGAAGCACAGCTGAGACTTCCTTATGTTTCCAAGTACAGCCACAAACACTGTCAGGCAAGACAGTGAAGATGATGATATGGATAATGAGATACACAAAGAAACAAGAAGCTGATACCCAGTCCAGCCACAGGATGAAGCTTTTAAAGGAAACAGAAAACCTGACAAAAGCACAGATACTGATCTCAGCATAGCACAGTTCTAGGTAGCAGAGGTAAAGGGAAGAGGGCAAAGTAATCCACTTTCAGTATCTGGCATGGTATGGTGATACTCATGTAGTCTTTCCAAAGGTATACACAGCCATTACTCTATTTGGTATTAAGACAGAAAGCTAGAAGACTGCTTTCCTATGGATTAAAATCTTGCGACTTCCCAGATGGCTTGAGCACCACCACCTCTAAGAAAAGCTCCCTGAGCCCCTAAATTAGGAGCCACTCGTCTGTGCTTCTTATCATTCACATGCAAACTTGTAATTGTCAAGTCAAATTCCATACTCATGAGAATGTAAGCTCTTTGAGGGCAGTACCTAAACAAAGAGCCTGGCACACAGTAGGAAGTCAGCAAATATTGAATGAATGAATGAATGAATGATGAATAAACAGCATGCTACTGAAGAAAAGGCTTTACAGCAGTAGTTTGCATCATTCCACAATTTTCCACATTCTTAAGAACACCATCTGTGACGGTCTTTCTTTTCAAAAGACTTTCCCCACAGAAATACTTCTTTTCCAGTAGAAATATCTGGCAGTAGGTTATGGTACTCAGTTTATTATTAATATCATAGTCCATAGTAGAAGTTCTAACTATATCCATGAAGGAGTAACTTCTTTCTGCAGCCTATGCCTCATAATCTAGAAACATATGCACTTTAGAACTATGAGGAACAAAAAAATCCTTAGAACCTTGGAGAGAAATTCTTCGTGTCACCAGAAATAAAAGTTTTTTGGTCCAGCTTATTAGCTGCTCTTTTGTGATAACATCCCTGCTAAAGGATTAAAACTATATTTATTTCCCATATCACCTAACTTAAGAGAATTTATGCTGAGAGGCATAGGAGTCACTCATTTGACAAATATATACTGAATGCCTAGCAAGTGCCAAACACTGTGTTGGTGATGGGGATTTATCAGGCAACAAGACAAGGTCCTTGCAGTTTGATGCTTATATTCTAGTGAGAGAGACTATGAAAAAAGTGGAAAAAAAACCCTACAACCTACCCAAAATAAGCTAATGTGACTGTGACAAGAGTCATAGAGGACACGGATAATGAGCAGAAAGTGCTGGAGGTGGCCCTCTTAGATAGGATGGTCTGAGTGTTCCTCTCCAAGGAGGTGGCACCTGACTTGAGACAAACAGCAGCTCAACAACGGTTTTCCAGGCAAAAGGAACAAGTGCACAGCTTCCAAGGCAGGAAAGGATTGCTATTTTTGAAGAACAAAAGGGAGCTCCCTGGTACAGCTGGATCTCTCCCTCAGAGAAGGGGAAAATGATACAAAAAGAAGCTGGACATGTAGGAATAGGTGAGATTGTGCAGGGTTTTTTACAGGTCATGGCAAGGAACATTAATAATGTTCTTTGAAGATGGGGCTTTTACCAGCAGAAATAATATGAAATATGAGCCAAAAGAATTAGGTCAAAGTTGAGATTTAATCACATAAAGCCATATGATCACAGCAAAGATATGTCACCACTCTGCCTCAGTTTCTGCCATCTGTAAAACATCTATTTACCTCAAAAGATTGTTATAAGGATAAAATTGGACACTACACACAAACATAGTTTATAATTTGAAGTGTTATAAAAAGGAATATGGCACTGTCCATCACAGCCACAGAAGATAATTACCTGGCAGAGCAGTGTGCTGGTGAGCATCTTCGGTGAGACGCATCGGCAAGAACATCCAGGGAGTAAAGGGGAGAGAGGGGATTAAACTGCAGGAATAAATAAGATTATTTCAGTAAGGCTTCTATGAAATGGACTTAATCCTAAAAGGTAATCTTCTTTTGCCATACCAAACAGACACCATTCAATAAAGTTGCACATATTTAATAGTGTGCCCATGAATGTGCCACACCTGACCTAGCACACCTCAAAAAGACAGTTCCTTATTAAACAATTTTTCAAAAACCTCAGATACGTAATAATTGCTTAAAGGGCAAAAGACAGTACTTTCCAAGTGACACAACAGGAACTTACACCCACTGATTATCAACTGTGGATCAGTCCTTGTTCCCAAGATTAGCATGAAATTACCTTCTCCTTTCCTTATCCTGGCAAATGTTTCCAAGAACAATGGGTTAAGCACATACCAGCAGCACAGTATAGTGGAAAGAGAACTAGACTAAGAATTAGAATAGCTTAACTTTTAGTCCCAATCTACCACTAAGTTGCTGTGTGTTAAAAATTTCATAATCTCTGAGCTTTACTATCCTCATCTGTAAAATGGATATATCACTGTGTCTTACCTATTTTACAGGGTTATTGTGAGGGTTAAATGAAATATTGCTTTCAGGTTATAAATTAAGTTCAGTTTCTCATCTATAAAACATCTATGAACTTCAAAGGGTGGTTTATGAAGATCAAATGAAATATTATATATAAAAACACTTCACTTCATGTTTGCTAGCTTTGTTCCGACTTTTTCCACAATAAATAGTCCTCTCCCAAAAATTTAGAATATAATACATTCTGATATACAAAGACTGGAAGAACTTTGAATGGTAACTTCAAAAGTACTTAAAAAGAACATAAATTAAGCAACTATCTATAGAAGTTCCAGTCTCAGTTCTACCTACCAGCTGCAGGATTTTGGGTAAACAGTTTGAATCTTATGGACTTCTAGTTTGTCATCTGTAAATAACAGATCTGGACCAGGTGATCACCACAGGTCCCCTTCTGCCTTTACACCCTGTGATGCAAACATGGTTAGTATCCTAGCTTAGAATTTCCCAAACTGAGTCTCTCACATATCATCTGCATTACTTTTTCTTTATCTTCCTTTCCTTTCCTTATCTTTCCTTATCATCTGTACTGTTTACTTAGGATTTTTCTTTATATCAATTAATTTTACTCAGCCTTGTCCTTACTATGTTTCCACAAAATAGCATGTTTTATATAATGATTATGTTTTTTCTAACACACATAATAATGTACAACTTAAAGACTGTGTGTCTACATGCCACCTAAAATCATCTTATACATATATATGAGTTATGTCTTCCACTGCTGTAGTTCATTTTGAAATGACAAATTTACAATGAAGCTTTCAAGTCTAAAATGTGTATCAATTCTATAAGCTAAAAAGTAGTCAAAAAGCAAAACAAAACACTGAGCAACAGGAAGCCTGAGAATTTTTACCTATCATCTTCATCTACTTTACAACTAATCACCAAAATAAAGCAATTCTCAAAAAAAATAAAATAAAATAAAATAAAATAAAATAAAATAAAATAAAATAAAATAAAATAAAATAAAATAAAAAAGCTTCAAACATAAAAGGAAAATATCAATAGCCACTGTGAGTATTTTTAAATCGTGACCTCTACACAAAGGCCTAAATATGCCAAGGGCCCCCTCAGGGGGTAGCCGAGAAAAGAGGGCAAGGCTCAGAAGCCTTGACCCGACATCACTGAAAGCAGCTCTATCTTCCTCTGCTTCATACGCTTAGGCTTCAACGTAGTACTTCTCAGCACAGAATTCTGATGGTGAACTAAACCATAAGCAGATAAGATTCATTCTGCTTTCTTACAGCAGAGTTCAAAACTAAAATAGAAACATAATTCCTATAAATGTGTGTTATAAGAAACTGATGATCACAGAACTAAAGAAAGAATGAGTATCGAATATTCTTGGAAAACAGTTCTTCAAGGAAATCGGAGTAGCACAGGGAAGAGGGAACCTTACCTCATGTGCACAAGCAGAAATGTGAGGAAAATCAGAAGCCAACGCTTTATTCTTTCTAAAGAAAAGGAAATCAAATGATAAAATAAAGATGACAAAGAAAAGGGATCTTACCTGATTCCGTTCTCTTTTCCCAGCTGATGGTAACCAGAAACTAAAGAGAGGGAGAGAACAGGAAAGAAAACAATAAAAGAAGTGGTAGGAAAATTACAGATGGAAGGAGAAGATAAAAAGATGTTGGAATAATGAAGTGAAGACAAAGAAGGAAATGGGAAAAAGATGCAATTGGAAAAGAAAAGGAGAAAGATACTAAATGTGAACTATTTTGCTGAAAAATAACTCTTCAAAGGGAAAAGCCTTATAATAGAATGTCCAAGACTGGACAGGCTTAAAAACCCAAATAAACCAGTGTGGCATTGATGCACTTTCAGCTGTGCAGCGACAAAACAGGACCCCCAACTCAATAAACCACATGCACATCTTGCCTATTTTGTAAATTAGAAATTAGAACAGGCTGAATGCGTATAGGATGGCAAGTGGGTACTGACCATGACGTGTATAGGATACATGAAAGACCAACCATATTAGGGGATGAGGCTGCCACAACAAAGGGCACAATGATTCTTCTGTAGTTATATACAGTTATAACCATGGTAATTAGGACAAAAAGATACTTCTCTATAAAGAGGTCTAAAAATTACAAAAGAATATAGGAGAATAGAGGCAGTCACCCATTTTGAACAAAAACAGGAGACAGAAAAAATGAATTTAAAATATAACATCATTATTGGAGGCTTCTAATACAGCACCTATAGATACAAAAAGCAAAAAAAATAAAACAAGTCTAGAAAGAAAAAAAATAACTGTCATGGCCTTAGGATGTTAGTCATGTTAATTGTTACAAAGTATAAATCTTTTAAGATCTCCTTTTTCAGCTCTGAAGCCTGATTTCTAGGTTGCTTCATAAAACTCCCCTCTGCCTCCTTCTCCAAAGGAACAAGCTAGGACAGCCAGGAAATATATGAGCACTTACTCTTTCTGTCGTGGGTCGCTAATGATATGGCTTATCCTCTCAGTACCTAAAGTACTTATGCTGGTCTCCTAAAAATACAAGGAAGACAAGAGTGTCAGCCAACCACAGAAATAAGTATATAAAGTACATGCTGTTGTCAAGCTCACAATTCCCCATAGCTGTGCCAGCTAAGGCAACCTCAAAGACACATGTCAAATGTGAATCTTAAAATCCAATAGCAACTGTATTTCTTTTTACACCAATCTATGTTAAAAGTATTTCATGTTATCCTACACTTATTTTTCTCTAGTGATCTAAAAAATTATAAACGTTGTTTGCTCTGTATGATATTTTAACATGAGTGATACCTCATGGAGTTATTGAAGTATACAGGAGTAAAAATAGTTTTAAAAAAACCCAACAGTGGCCAATTTTTAATAAGCCAGCACACCCGGCTCCCTACAGTTATGTGATTATAGCCCCAACAATCTTCATCCTGGGACATTTCTCAAGTACTCTCTGGTAAAATCTAAGTATCTGCTGACTAAATATATACAAGTCAAAGGACTTCTGTGACTTCAAAAATTATCACTCTGTATTTTGTCCCTTAAATATCATCTACTAAAGTAAAAAACAGAAGTTTGTATACACTGATTATTAAAGTTAGGGTTCTTGAGATTGTAATGTAAAAGCTTACCCATAACACCCCAAGCAATTCAGAAACTAACCACTTCCAAAAAATTGGACAACAGCAGAAGGCACTCAGCCTTTACTTAGCTCAAGTATATTTACAATGTATATCTATCACAGACCTGGGAAGGCACACCAACATGTATATGGCTAAGAGCTACACAGTGTTAAAATGAGAGAACACAAGTCATGGGCATGAACATCAAGAACATTAAGGCTGTTCCTCAAACACATTTGTGTCTAGACAAATGGTGTTACCTGTATTTGCCCATGTGTATGGATTAGCCTAAACATTAGGCTACATGTTTTAGAAGAACAACTGGCTATAGGAAAACTAATTTGAGGTCAGATTCTGGGCAGGAGTGAAGCTAAATGAAAAGGTTTCACATACTGTATTCTTCATATTCTGCCTCCCTTACAGCTATGGCTCCTGGTCACAGACACAGACATGGTAGGGGGGCCAAGAGAAAAGATGGGTGAAAAATGAGCTATTTGTTACAGCAGAAAAATTATTAACTTAAAGTGCCGTAATGTTTAAATTTACAGTTTATTACTGTGTAAATTACAAGCAGTACTTTGCGTAATTAGCAGTTCGCTGGCAGGGAGCTGTGAATGAAACTCATTATTTATGATTACAATTTAGAAAAAGAAAAGAGAGATGGGGGAAGGGGAAGCTGGGGGGCAGAGCAGTGACCTCTGCTAGAAATGATAAATATCCCTTTAAGGTGATGAAGATGAATTAAACAAGTAAATATTATCCTATTCATTTGAAATCATTAGCTGCACATCCAATAGGCCCTAGTTCCCTTCCAGGCAAGCTAAAGGGAGACTTCGAGATGAACTGACTTACAAGCAGTACTTCTTATTTTATAAGAACTGAAAAAGAATGTAAGGTAGGTGGCAGGGAGAACATTATCTGTCAAGCCTAACCAATAAAGAGAAAAAAATAAAACCATCTCTCTGTTCCCCACTCCCAACCCCCTGCCTCCCTCTATCCATGTACACCTATTCTGGCAATTGTTCTGTTAAGAACAGGCTCCAAGAACAGCAAAAGCAAGCATTCTATTGTCTGTAAAATGAGTGATTTAAAAGGAATAAGGTACTAGTCTTCCAATGATCAGATGTTTTTCTAATTAGAGATCTGAATTTGAATTTAAAAAGAACTAAGAACCTGAGTTCATCTGGAAATAAACAGCCTCTTTTCTTTTTCAAGCCTAAAAATTCAGAAAACAGTTCCCTGATTAGACTATAAAACAGCAGCTCCAAGGCGGGGCGTGGTGGCTCACGCCTGTAATCTTAGCACTCTGGGATGCCGAGGGTGGATCGCTCAAGGTCAGGAGTTCAAAACCAGCCTGAGCAAGAGTGAGACTCTGTCTCTACTAAAAATAGAAAGAAATTAATTGGCCAACTAAAAATATATAGAAAAAATTACCTGGGCATGGTGGCGCATGCCTGTAGTCCCAGCTACTCGGGAGGCTGAGGCAGAGGATTGTTTGAGCCCAAGAGTTTGAGGTTGCTGTGAGCTAGACTTACACCACGGCACTCTAGCCCGGGCAACAGAGTAAGACTCTTGTCTCAAAAAAAAAAAAAAAAGAGCAGCTCCTTAAGGGTAGCCAGACCATGGCTGTGACCATGATATACCTGGCTTGGCATAGGCCTGTCACATAGTGGGCATTCTAAATGCTTATTGAGTTAATGCTCTCAATGCCTCTCCCTTCCTTACTCTTTGCCCACCACCATCTTCTCTGATTGGGTATGAGCCCCTATATTACCCTATTTCTCAATCTCAAAGCTACAGTAAAAAATAAAACAAAATAATAAAATAAATACAAATTTAAAAAGATAAAAGTAGACCTGGGTTCAAATCTCTATTCTGCCACTCCTATCTGGGTAACATCAGACATTACTTAACTTCTTTGAGCCTAAGTTTTCCTCATCTGCTGAAGGGGAATGTAACTTTTTTCAAAGGTTGTTGGAAGGATTAAATGAGCTGAGTGCCTAGCACAGTCCCTGGCAAAGGCAGAACTGAATAAACAGTAAGCGGTGGACAGTCCTCCCTCATGGTCAAAGAGGGGCTGCTGAAATTCGATAACAGATTTTTTTTTTCCAGTTTTGGGTTTGTTTTTTTAATAAATTCTAGGATGAAAGACCAAAGTTAGGATACAACAAAGGTGCATTCATGAATTCAGGAGGAGTCATAAAGAAGCCAAGAATATTTTAACTTATACAATAATAATACAGAATTAATCAAAAGTTACAGAAGAGGCAGAGATCAGGCCTGTAGGTTTACAGACACTGTTATGACAGTGTTTGTTTTGTCAGACTTCTGAATGAATTAGGTTTCATTTTTTATGTGTGCATCCACTCATATCCTACATAATGTTCACTCTTGTAAACTCCCAAAACATCCCAGTTGGCTTCATTAACTCCAGGGAGTTCTATAGCACCTTTGATTATTAATAGCATACACAAATTCCACAGGGATATTATCTTCCTGCTGAGCCTAGTAAACCACGAAAGCTATCACCTTCCCAACCAGCCTTCTTCGCCCCTTTCTGAGGCATCGAGCTGCCGCTCCAGGCAGACGATTCAAGCGAGCATGGTACCCTAAAAAAAATAAAAGCCTCAGTTACTGAACGCAGAAAATCCATAAGCAACCCTATGTTTCTAGTACAATGAAGGCCTTACTCCGAGGATCTTACTACCTTTAAACTAGTATCACAAGGGTATTTGCCAAAAATTTATTATTCTCACATCTTTGTCACTAACAACATGATCTTAGGCATGCCATTTACCTTTGACCTAGGCATTCTCATCTGCAAATGAGGAATAATCACTCACTCAGTCCTACCTTACAGAGCTGTTTTGAAGACACAATGAAATACATGTGGAAGGAACTTTATACACCGAAAACACCACATAAATGTAAGGTAGTATTAACAATTTCTAATTTTAAATTAAATGCTAGTTTATCTCACAAACATTCTAATCCATAAAATGGGAAAAATAGCATGCATAATATTAATATACCCCCATTTATCTAACTGCTGTGTATGTTCTACACATAGAAAGAACAAATGTAAGAATTCACACCAAAATATTATTAATGATATCATCTCTGGATGTGGGACTATAGGTCATTTTAAGTTTCTCCTTGCTATTCTTGCTAATTTGTGTATATTTTAAGGAGTCTATAAAGAACTTCTAGAAACATTCACTGAAATGGTTGATGAAACAATGTGACTCAGCCAGGCAATAGTCTTTACTGAGAACCAAATGCTTTGAGAAGGCCTTTCAACCACTCAAATTCATCATAACAAAATCCTACATAAGAGTTTCATCTCTTAGTGTAATTTTGATCACCAAGAGATGCTCAACAAATAACTGATTAATTGGTTGATTATCAGTTACTGTGAATCCTAGAATCATAAATTTATAGAGCTAAAAGAAACCTCTGGAGCAATTTTGTTCAATGTCTTATATCTTAAATGATAACCCAGACATCCCAAGGAAATGAAGCGACTTCATCACAGCTACAGAGGTAGGTAGTCAGTACCAGAAAGTATTAGCACCCTATTTTTTTCTCCCTGTCTGAGGCTCTTTTTACCTACTTTGGTATATCATAATTGAAGGAAAAGCAAAGGGAAAAGACAAATATTTGTCTGCAATAATAGGGTCATTAAAATAAAATCATTTATGCCAGCATGGTGGCTCATGCCTGTAATCCTAGCACTCTGGGAGGCAGAGGTATAAGGGTTGCCTGAGGTCAGGAGTTTAAGACCAGCCTGAGCAAGAGTGAGATCCCATCTCTACCAAAAATAGAAAAAATTAGCCAGGCATGGTGGTGTGCACCTATCTATCATCCCAGCTACTCGGGAGGCTGAGGCAGAAGGATCACTTAAACCCAGGAGTTTGAGATTGCAGTGAGCTATGATGACACCACTGCGCTCTACCTGGGTCAACAGAGTAAGACTCTTTCTCTCTCAAATAAATAAATAAGCAGAAATTATTAAAAGAAATTATTTTTAAATCATCCATTTTTAAAATGCCATTATACCTTGTATGTGAATGCTCTTACTGAAATCTATTATTTTCCAAGATCCAATACTTCAGGGTTCCATTGAGCATTCAATAATCTATGAGTCTCACATCAGGATAAACAGCTGTGGCATGATGCTAGGCTTCCTAAGTCTGGCACAAATGGCAATGGCAAGCTGAAGGAATGCCCTGCAAATATATGTCCCCAGAGTCTCCATGGACTGATTTAGGTAGAAATGGAGAGAATCTCAAGCCTTAAGACTCATCCTTTAATCTTCTAGAAAATCCCTGGACTAGCTCCAAAATTCAGATAATTAATACATGCTTAGAGGCACAAATATGTTTGCTATGGGATGATTCTTCTGCCCTAAGAGAACCATAAAAGCATGAAGTTCTTGGTCTTCTCAGTACTCACCTCTTTGAGCTGGCCGAGACGGTAAAAGGAATGTGGAATCTGAGAGTTTATCCAGTCCAGAATCCATTCTTTCTACATCAGAGCAATGATCAGGAGCCCACTTGGGCAGAAGATTAGGGACAGTGAATCCTGGGACACATTCTCCTTCATAGAACCAGTCACTCTGCTCATCATCTCCTAAAGTAAGGAGATCATATCATAAGCTGGAATTTTAACAAGCCTAAGAAAAGTTAAATGGGAGGATGACTCCTAGTGCTATAGTTTCCATTATACCTTTAAATAAATCAAAGTACAAAAAATTGTTCTGGTCCTTCTTCTTAATCCATATTATGATGAAAACTGGGATAGCAACCTAGTTTTACATATATGTCATATTATGTTAGACTTAATTGCTTTACTAGTAAAAACTAATAAAGATACCACTTACTAAACCCTTATAACCTACCAGGATCCATGCTAAAAATCTGTAAATGTTATCTTTTCTAATCCCTATACTAACTCCAACTTACAAATGAGGCACCTAAAGCCCAGAAAAGTCAAATTCAATTTAGTAAATGATGAAGCCAGGATTTGAACCCAAAGCCTGACTAACTCCGAGCCTGAGATCTTTACTACAAAAATAAACTTTCTCTCCTACATCATCCTCAGTGGTACAAATAAACCTGGGGGTTCAAAGCCCATAAATGTTTTTCAAATCAAAACTAGCTGTCCTGAGTGATTTTTTGCTATTAATATATCTGCTTCTCATAATAGGTGAATAAACAATGTATGCTCATACTTTGTTTTTTCCTTGGTATCTCATTAATGGGACAGAAAATCATCTTGATACTAGCAATCCAAGTTTCCAGGAAAAAACTAACCACAGAAATAAATAATTTCATTCTCTAAGGCCTTTCAAGAAGGCCATATTGCTCATTAATGGCAACTAGACCCACATATTCAGACTCTTAGTTCAAACTTCTATTGGCTACAATGATAGCATCTCAGTTTCCCCTAGAGTTTTACCCTGCCAACAAAGAATAAGATAGATAAATTCATGTCTGCCATCCCATCATCCTTTCAAAGTAGCAAAGATAAAGGAAATTATTACAAGAACATCTAAAGAGTTCATAAGCCATACATTCTTAATGTACACTGGATCCCAGCAAAGCTGCTCAGAACATGCCTATCACATATGAAGTATCAGATTCATGGACTACTGAAACCCAAAATTATAACTCTTAAATCTCTGTGGAAATCTCCAAGATGGGCAATGAAACCTGCATTCTGGTGAATGGTAGCAGGTATTACCACTAAAGAAATTATTCCAAGTGTTCCTTTATAAAAACACATCACAAACAGATGTTTTTCTAAAACAGTGGTTCTCAACCTTTAGCATACATCAGAAGCACCAGGAGGGCTTGATAAAACACAGACTGCTGAGCCCTACAACCAAAGTTTCTGATTCTGGTCCAGATAGGAACAAAAATTTGTATTTCTAACAAGTTCCCTAGCGATGTTAAGCTGGTCTGGGGACATTTTAAGAACCACTACTCTAAAAGCATCTCACCAAACCAGGTACACAGATGAATTAAAGACAGGCATCAATGTACAATAATTACTTTCTCTGCATTTTCAATATGTTAATTATTTTCTTATCCATAAGCATTCTTTGGGCCAATTATAAAATAGTATATTAAGTTGGATCATGTTTTCTGATGACAAATGACAGAATATAATGGAAATCTTTTGGTTCTCAAGCATTCACTCAAGATTTTTAATAATACAAAAAGGGACTCACTGAACTGGAAGGAACCTTGTGAGATCATCTAGACCAGTAGTCTTCCACCTGGGTTCACTAGGATACCTGATGCAGGAGCTCCTTAAAAGAGTGCTGCCAGAGAATAAGGAAGAGGCTGAATGCACCAGGCTCCTGACCTACAGCTCCTCTAGAATCTTGCTTTAACCAAAATAGGCTTAGTTGTTTTATAATTTGAGATTCTATGTACGATTTTGTTTGAGAGAGAAAAAGTTTTTTACCTTAACTGGTTTTCTCAATAACTATTTATTGGGAATTCACTATATGCCAACAATGTGTTAGGTACTATGGTTGCAAATAATAAAATTCCTGCCTTTGAAAAGCTTCAATGAAAAAGACACACACCTACAAACAATAACATAACAGGGTAAGTGGTAAAAAGCAATAAGTACAAGGAGCCCTAAAGCACAAAGAGGAAGGCCTGCCAGTCAGAATATGTTTGGGAAAGACACTGCACATTTAAAGGGGCTCATTAAGGAGACCTGATGAAGTGACTATTTACAAAGGTGTAGAAAGTACTAACACGGAAATCAATAAGGAGTGGTGAAGCAACTGGGAGTCAGCACAGCAGGAGGTCTTTACCAACACTAGACCTAGATCGGTCCAGGGTTGGTAAAAGACTGACAAGGGAAAGAATGTTTTTGGAGCCCAGAGAAAGAATTGTACTTATAGGAGAAGGCTGCCAAACAAGAGTAGTGGCCTTCTGCAGAGAAATACAACCACTGCCAACCAGCAATCCAACAGAAAGAGAGCTAGGGAAAGCTATAATGGTTTCCAAGTCCTCACTACCACTCTATAATAAAATGATTCATCCACACCCTTTGCCCTGTGCCATTGGATTCCACAGTGCCTTCCCCTTTAGGCGGAGCACACTTAACCCATCCTATTGACATTGGGGTTGGTTATATGTCTTGCTTTAGGTAGCAGACCACTAGCCAATATAATTCAAACAAAGGCTTTAAGTATGCACACATGATCTGGCATGGTCACTTGGAATTTATGTCCTTTGCCAAAAGAAGTCTATGCTGCATATAGCCACTGTTCCCTTAGCCTAGTCCCAAAATAAGGTACACTGAGTAGATGTAAACCTAACTTGAAGCCTGGAGACCAGCTGAGTCCAGGCAAGATCAGATGAACCACAGGCAACCCACAGGCCCATGGCAAGAAATAAATGTGGTAAACCACTGCAATTTAGGGGATGTTAAACAGCATTATCACAATAAAATCTTGACTAATATATCCAATCTCACTCACCTCTCTCTCTCTCTAATCATCTACTGATGATTCCTATTAGTCAACACCAATAAGAAATTGAGGGCAAGAAAACCCACTGATACAGTCCATAAATATGCCCTGGAAGGGCAAAAGGAGAACTGGGTCTTGGTGGATGACCAGCCATTCAAGGAAAAGAGAGGAGGAGACTCCAAGCAGAGAGACCAGCATGAACAAAGGAATGAAGCAGGAAATAACACAGCTTTGTGTTGAGAACTCTATGCCTCTAAATGTCACCAGAATGTGTGAAGTTGAGACAGAAAAGAAAGGAGACCTGGGGCTACAGAATATTCTATAAGCTTTTTCGTGATAAACCAAGGAATCCTTATTAGGGAAAAAGCTTTCCAAAGACCCAAAAACTTCATCTGCTGTAATAGGTCCACACTTCTTGACACCTCTATATGATTATGCATTATAACCTAAATTTAAGAGGTACATTCTGATACTTCCTAGCACTGTAGTAAAAACAAAGAAAAAGAGCAAATATTATTAACTCTGAATAGTATATACCAACTCATTCATGGAAAGACAACCAGACTTTCCTGGTATGAGATAATAAAATCAAGACCCTAACTAGAACCTACCTGTATACACACACAGTCTCTAATGACACCTATGTCCCTCAGAGTCTTAAAGATAGAAATGAACTCACAACAACCTCCATTATAATAGGAAGCTCAACAACTCTATGGGGATAAAACTGCCTCCATGCCTACAACTCTGAGGCATGGACAAGATACCCTCCCCACAGTCCCTCTCCAAAATCAGGACTTGGATGCTGAGTCTCAGTCTCAGGATCTCTTCAGTTACTAGGGAACATACCTGGATCAGACAGGTAGCCACTGTGCCTCTGTCCTTTAGTCACTTAACCATGGAGAAAAACTGCTGGATTAGATCTAGAAAAGTTATTGGATTTTAGAGATCTACGAATGTCTTATTTTAAATTAAGAAATCTACAGTCCAAAAGGGCTACATGTAATTTCTTATTGGTGTACAAGTAGTGTGGTCCTACACAAGTCTAGAGGATAAGAATTTTGTAAAATGCACTTATACCAAGGCAAAGTTTTAAATTAGTGCTTAGGTAGTAAAAATAAAGAACTGGTAATTTACATGCATGAGCTTTATTCACAGAGTTCTATATTAAACTTCAGGAGTTTTAACTTGAGAAAGAAGATGTTTTACATAATATATTCACCTAGAACACTATAATCACTTATAAATAAGGTTAGAAAAATAACTAGATTTTAAGTGGGAAAACAAGAATGCCTTAACATCCAAAAAAAGAGAGTAATACATGAGGATATTTCTTGGTTCTAATAGAAAGGAACTTCCCTAAGTCCCAGGCTCAACACTCCAACCCCCTGGACCAGTGATTTTCAATGTCTGAAATATCTGCATAAGAACTATTTCAGGTGCTTGTGAAAAATGCAGATTCCAGGGGCCAACTCCAGACCTATTTGATTTCTAGGAGCTCAGGGATTTGCAGTTTTAACAGTTCCCCTGGTGGCTCTTATATGCCCTAAAGTTTAAGAACGACTGCCACAGACAACCATCATATTCTCAATGAGCCATGCCTATAATCATTAGCATCTTCCCATAAACACTGAACCAATATCCTAAAGCTGGGATCAAGATTACCTTGTCGTCCTTCATCATTGGTAAAGAGCCCAGTGTCACTGCTGCTACACACACTGCTGGTTTCACTGAAAAAGGAGGAAAACATGAGAGAACTCATCAGTTCCAGTCAAAAACAAAGAACTATACATTCTTATTTTGGTTTTCAAATGGAAAGATCCCAAGCTTCCCTAATTTTACTCCAGGTATTAGAGATATGTAAATTTCAGATATGTAAATTTCATAGGGAAGCTATGATATTTATTTTCCCCCAAAATAACAGAAATATAAGAGGAGAATTCTAAAATTTTTACTTATATTTCAAAGTACTTTTAAAACATCTACAGTCACTTTGTTTAGAATTAAAAAGGTATTTATTAAGGCTCATCAAAGTAATTTCTACCTGGTTTGGAATATTAAGCAACACAAATTTACCAACAAATTTTGGAGGGGGAAAGTACATAATTTTTATTATTCACATACGTTGGGGTTCACAAGAAACAGTTTGGTTACAATTAAAGTTAGCCTCAGGGCTTACTTATCCTCTGAATACAGGAAAAAAATAGTTTTAATGTTAAACAATGTTTATGGGAGGCCATTGTTTGAAATAAACCAGAATAGACTTTCTGGAGCTAGGTGCCATGTAATCTTTTAGAGATGGGGTCTCCATGTTGCCCAGGCTGGAATCCAATTGATATTCATAGCTCACTGCAGCCTGAACTCAAGGGATCCTCCCACCTCAGCCTCCTGAGTAGCCGAGACTACAAGTGCACCTCTGCACCTCATATAATCTATCTTTAAAATGGGTCACTTTCTAAGAAACAGGAGATTCACTGCAATCAATCAGAAGGGATACCTGCACTACCGTAAGTCCTCTCTGTGTTATCACTATAAGGAAATTAACTTTAATTCTAGAAAAAGACTAATTAAATGGTTATACTAATTTTTGTTAATTATATGAGTCTACTTAGACATACTCATCTTAGTGGTAGCTGTCTTCATTAAGAACAGTAGTTCTTCTCTCCCTGGTTTACGGGGGCAACCTTCCTCAAAGTTCAACCCATGCCTTACTTTAGGCAGATAAAGCCTAAAAGGTAGAACTCTTCTTGTATCTGTTGAGTCTCAAAATTGCCTTTAGCTCAGAATAATCCTAATGCCAATGTAGCATAATTGGGGGGGGGGGGGGCATACTCTGATCAGTTTCAGAGCAAGTTCAGATGGGCAACAGAAACAACCTTAAATAAATAGCCAACAATTTTACTAATATCATGCAAGTTTGATGATTTATAATATATTCTTGAAATTGCCAACATCAACATCAAGGTTGCTTTCCTCAAACAGTGCTAATTTTATTTTTAAATATTTCTAACTATCAGTTTCAAATGAAGCTATCCAACTTTAAGACATGTAGCATCTCTCAAGTTTTCCCCCCATTCACAAAGCAGCAAACAAAAATCCATGAATAGAAAAAAAAATAACCAATATGGCAAATTTATATATTCAAAATTTGTCTTCCTTTCTATCAAGCAAATACACCAAATTCATTTGAAAAAGGAACTAATGTTAAAAATATAAAAAACAAACTCCATTTGACCTCATTGAAATAAAATTTTGTCCCATGGAATTCTTTCCAGATTCATTTTCTGAGCTATTGTTCGCAATTGATTCTGCTTCTTCTGATGCTGCTTTTCTTCCAAATTTGATTTACCTGGCTTAAGAAAAACTTCTTGATCCTTTATAATATTAGCTATTTCCTTGATTGGGAGTGTTTCCTTTCAAGATAGTCAATTTCTTTTTTCACCTGCTCTAGAAGATGAAACAAACTAAAGCAAGAAAGAAGCATTTTCACCATGCCACAGAAGAAATAGGCTTGGCAATATCCCAATCTACATTCCTGGATCAAAAAACCTGAAAATATTTTGTATTTTGCAACATTTCCAAATATCTTGCCAACACTAAATCCTCAAAATGTTGGTTAAATTAAGTAGCAATGTCTTCCTCACTTAAGCTTGTCTCTGAATAATAAATGCATGAGATCTGTTTCAGAAAGAGTCAATAAAATATAACCTATTTCTTTATAGGTTCTTTCATTTTATTTTTTATGTACTTGTAAGTGAAAACTTTCTCAGGGGTCATTGTAAGAAATGTCTCACAAAACTATACTACTGGATTCTGATAGATTTAGAATCTTTGAAGACCTCTGCAGTTAAATCCAGAAAATATCCTGAGTACTTCATTCTTCCTGAGTTTAAGGAAGTGTGCCTGCTAAACTTAACAGTGTTATTTATTATATTATTATAGAAATTGCTGTTTTTAGCAATTTCTGAAGAACATTAGTGGTCTGACTCCATTGAGACCTACTACACAGTCTCTCATATTACTACTTTATTCTCCTCACCTAGCCCCAAGGATAAAGCAAATTTTATATTTTTAAACTTTTCTTCATATGAGGGAGAGCTACAAAGCATGGTAGGGCATGGGACAGATTCTATTCCACCATCATGTTACATACTTTATTGATTAGTAGAATCACTACTGAAATTTAGGGGTCAGCAAGCAATGCCCCATCACCTATTTTTGTAAGACCCAGGAACTAGGAATAGTTTTTATAGTTTTAAAACATTGGGGGGAAAGATAAAAAGACAAGTATTTTGTGACACATGGAAATATGACATTTAAATTTCAGTAACATTTCATTGGAACAAAGCGACAATAATTCATTTACCTATCTTCTATGGCTCCATCTGCACTATGACTGCAAAGCTGAACAGTTCCAATAGAGAATGTATAGCATACAAAGCCCTAACTATCTACTACTTAGCTCTTTATGGAGAAAGCTTGTTGATTTCCTACTCTACAGGTATTACAAAGTCTATTCTGCAATGTCTATGATTCCCTCTCTTTGATTATTTCCAATTAAAATTTAAAACATTTGCTTTATCACAAAGGCTATCAATTCTTTTCCAGCCACCTGTAAGCGCTATGAGATACAGTGCTTCCTTGATCCTCTGTTGTATCATTCTCTCCTCATATTCTATCAGGGGTCCTCAAACTACGGCCTGCGGGCCACATGTGGCCTGCCGAGGACATTTATCTGGCCCGCCAGGTGTTTTTGCCACCACTGCCTGTCCTGCTTAGCAGCCAACTCATCCCGGGCCCACAGTGCACATGTGTGGAATGTGCGCCGCACTTTCCAGCAGCCCTCCAATGGTCTGAGGGACAGTGAACTGGCCCCCCTGTTTAAAAAGTTTGAGGACCCCTGTACCTAAATAAAAGGGGCAAGCTCAAAAAATACCCACTGGATCAAGAAACATGTTGGCATCCTGGCACTATACATTTTCTACTGTTACCAACAGTAAATACTGTTACCAGCATTTCAGGAGAATCAATGTTCTTAAAAAAGCTTAGATGAAACTTGTCTGAAAGAGTTTCCTATATATAGTTAATTGGAGTAATGATAATGATGTAACAGAAATATCACCAGGATTTTAAGACTATGATAAAGGGAGATATGTGTTTTCTTCATAAAAAAAAAAAAAATTATGTCTAGAGAATACTTATTACATAAATGTGTCATCATTCCACCCATACCTGGAAAGGAATATATCATCTGATAGCATTAGCTAATTCTATCCATGCTCTCAGAATAACTTGCATTGTGAAAATGTAATCATATGTAAAAAATTGTTAGCAATGTTTTCTGAGGCTGAAAGAATGGGAGCATCATGGCATGCTTGCACATAAACACTATAATACAGCTTGCAAAAATGCAGTGCTAGCTATAAAGTAGAAGCAAGTACTTCCCTTCCAAATTACAGGCCAAACTTCTAATCTCACAGCCCTCATTCACTTCTGGCTCAGAGATTATGTAAAATTAAAAAAACAGACCAGTAGGATTTTAATAATGACTTAATCAACTATAAAATGTTAATTTAACTAATTCAATTTAATGTTCTGTTAAAAATAAATTTCTTTCAATAAAGACAATTTTCATTTAGCATCTTTGTAGAGCCAAACGAGTCTGAAAGTTAAAAGATATCAAGGCTCCTACATATTTTTTTTCTATTCCAAAACCTCCAGATTTGTTTATAACTTTTTGGCTTATCAGTCTTTTAACTGGGCAATAGCAGAAAAAGCTCTGCTCCTCATTTTTATAAGAAAAAATTGTGATCCTATTTCTATGGTTTCCATTCCACTGTGGTCCTCTGAAGCTTAGTCAGGAAGACAGAAACCTAGCCTTTATCAATCTTCAGACAAAAGTAACAAGACAAAGCCCAGAAAGACAGCAGGTAATGAAATCTTGTCTTCTTCTAAAATGGCAGCAACTCCTAGAAACATCAATGCCTCTTGTCTTTGCCTCAGGAATTGCTCTATACTCCCTGTTCTCATATGATTTATGAGATTCTAATCTATAAATAGTTTACATATAAAAATATTACCAGGATTTTTCTAAAATATTTTGGAAGAGTAGAAATATATTAACCTTACAAATAACTTTCATTGAAAAAAATCCAATCCCAAATTAGGAGATTAAAAAGTCTCTTAACAGAAAAAGGAAGCAGAAGTGTTTCTTCCCTCTATTTCTCCTAAACCTTCATTCATTCATTCAGTAAACATTTATTAAGTATTAATCATATACTAGACACATAGCACTATAACTAGCACTAACACTAACAAACATGTCAATCACAACTTAAATGCAAGCATTTTATAAGCAACTATTAGTCCAGACTGTGGAAGAAGGGTGTGAAGAGGTAGGGAGAAGTACATTTTTCAATGAAAAACTTTCTGCAGTTAATAAGGGGTGGTACAAGCCTAGAATCTAACCTTATGACACTGAGGATATCAACCCATTTTAGAAGCCAGAAAACATCTCAAAAATATTCACAGGAGAATAAAAATAGTAACAATACATCCCACTTCTGTACATTGCCTTTTGCTAAAAAAAGGTCCCACACTTTATGTAGCAGCAAAACTACCATTTTAAATAAGACATAAACAAAATTAAAGGCTGGATTTTGGACCACTAATTGTATTACCTAATTATTATAATATCATTAGAAAAGCAATTGAGCCACATTCAACTGAA